AACTGTCGACCAGCAGGAACTTTGACGGAAACCAATTCCTGAGCTGAAGAGAAGACAGTCAGAGTGTACAAAGCTCGAGAGAGTTCCTGAAACCTACACAAAAAAAAAAAGTTTTCGTTCATAAGTACGAAATGCCAAAGTTCTTATCTTGAGCTGATGATTTCAGACTTTAAAATCCTGTGCATGCACCTGCCTTGCAAGTCTACCTCCACAAACTTCAACCATTGAGGCCTCAAAGCCAAAAACTGGCTTCGTAAACTCAATAACAATGTTGATGTTCGGTTCCTCTGTCAAAACCGATGAACTTGCACTTAACATTACTCCCGGATGCACCCAGTCTTCAAGAAAAAAGAGCTCTTATCAAATGAGACTATACATTGGTGTGAAACACTACTTGAGAAAGATTGAGAGCCTACCATAAAGGAGAATTAGAGGAGAGACAGCTGACACAGGAGTTCCAGTTTTGCCGATTATCAGACCAGTATTTAGCTTTATCGTAATTATTCCAGTCTTTGTTACGTTCTTGAGCTGCAAATTGAAAGAACTGACTATGAGTTCTTTCAAAGTACTTTTGGAGTCAAGAAACCGAAATAATGAGTTAAAGCAAGAGTAACTGGAGACCCACGTACTGCGAAAGCAAACCAGTGAGTCCTATTGTCCAAGTCTTGAACTGAGATCAAGCCCCCTGAGCTGACAGAAAACGCATCCAGAACCTCGTCTGTTGTGTTCAGAACCGGAATGCTGAAGTTCAAGAAAAACTTGAGTTCTGACATTTTGTTGGTGGCGAAGACAGTTCGAGGGACCTCATTAATATTCAGCTGATAGGACGGAACCGAAGTCCATAGATCAGCCAGCACTGGTCTCCTATCTACGAAAGTGAATTATAAATCAAAACTGCAAGTTCCTATCCGAATGTGATGAACTATATACTTGGTTAGGAAAATGCTTATTACCGAAATGAACTACTAATACAGAGCTGTTGGTCCTTCTGAAGTCATTTCCTGCCATATCTGTGCAAATCCTGTCTCTCATGGTAACTACCCCACGCTCTTTCAACCTTTCTGAGGAAATGATGACATCGAGTCTGTATTTAGTGTTTGGTTCCAAGATTTGAAGAGATAAAGCATCAACTTGAAAAGGGCCATATGCAATAACCTGTAGAAGAAGGTACACACCGAAATCATTCGATTGTTTGGGAAAACACCTTGTGTTTCGAACAGAGCATTAGCTTACGCACATCACAGTATGATGAGTTCAGGCACTTGAAACCACCATTTCCTCTGCAGGGCTCACTGAAGGTAACATCAACGCTGATTCTCTTACCATTCGTGTAGTTATGAGAACTTGATAGTCTTGCAGTTGGTGGGATTGTGTCTTAACAAACAGAGATAGAATCTGACAGTTTAGAGATCTCCAAATTAATAGATAAAACCCGAAAGCAGAAAAAAAAAAGGAGAGCTTACCAATGAACCAAGAATGAGCCGATGAATTCATCACTCTACTCGATGTCTTCACCTTGACAAGCAACTCGTGTTGTTGATTTACAGTCAAATTTTTTAACACCAAGACAGAAGCAGGACATTGCCTCAGAATCTGCCCATCAAGCTGTCGTAACAAGCCGCAGTAGTGTTCAGTAACAGACAAACTAATATTCTTTGCTTTCTCTAGTCAACATATCACAATACTATCTCTCTTTGTTTCAAGTGATGCCTCTACGTACGTGGAAATTGCTGGATAGAACACCATTCTTAGAACAGCCTCATATGGAAGATCAATCTATTACCTGACAAACAAACGAACATTGTTCGTTCTTGCATGCATCAGACCTATCCGGTCTCTGAACCTCATACCGAAAAACAGCTGTTGAAGACCTTGACCACGCAGGCGGCGTCTGGAGAAACCGGAGAGAAATGCCTGTCTCTGTGGACCCAACAGCAACAAAAGTGAGAAAGATGAGAACTTTGAAGATAGCGAGAAGACCCATTAGGAGAGAAGCCATGGAAGAAGCAGCAAGAAAACTTGGGAGAGTGAACTTGGGAAGAAAAAAACAGTTGGTGAGAAGAATAAGGAAAGATAATAAAAAAAGGGCCAACAACTAGCACGAGAGAAGTTAAGTCACCACATTAACTGCCTTGTTTGAAAGTAGTTCCTGGTTCTTTAATAACTCTACCAATTTCAACTGTCACAACAAGATTTCAAATTTTTACTTAAATGCAACCATTTATCCATTACCCGAAATTCAGACAAATTGGGAATTGGGCACAGAACACAAGTCATATTTTCAAAGTTCCAAACGTTGAAGATATACGGAAAAGGGAAATTCAAACTTAGAACTAAACATTTAATTCATGATTCCTTCTGAACAAAACCAATGTTTCTTACCTTCCCGCAATCAAAAGGCTCATAAATGGGGAAGGCAAAGAAGAAAAATACGATTTTGGAAAACCAAAAAAAGAAAGAAAGAGGGTGAATTCAAGTTCAGAGGTACGGATGATGTTTGATGACATCACAAAGTTATTTAAGAGAGAGAGAGGTTTAACTGTGTGTATGAATCCAAATTCCAGCCATTTCGGTAGCGCTCGTTCTCTGTTTGCTGAAAAAAATCATAAGAACGAACTTCACACATTCAACGCCAAACACGAAGGAGTTATTATTGCCGACGATTGACTGGTTTTAGAATCAACGAAAACGAAAGATACCTCATCCACAGCTCTTTGACAGAAAGAACTGAGTAGCTTTATCAAAGTAAATTGAAATTCTAGCTTCATCCTGATCAAGAGTAAAAAAAAAACGCATAAGAAGCATGCTTTCTCCAGCTCTCAGATGGCATCTACTCAAATTTAATTGACATTAGGGTTTGGCAGCAAGAAAAATGTATACAGAATCTCGATTTTTACACAAATTAAATGTGTAAACAACGCTAAAGGAGGCCTAACGATCATTATAGCCAAACAATTTGAATCATTTAACATGGGAATTCAAGTTCATGCCGCTGCGATTAAGCCCTTAACCAGCCTAAAAAATCAGTGATGATCAACAAGAGAATGTGGAAAATCTGAAATTAACAAAAGGAGTGTAAAACAGGATAAACCAGGAAACGTCTCGAGGAGGATGAAACGCTGCTGATTCTTATAATCAAGCATCCATTAACACGGGAATTCAAGCAAATTAATACGAATTAGGATCAAACACTAATCTAAATCGAAAACACAGGAATGTCGTAGTAAGATTTTAATGAAAAGGAGAGCACCTTGAAACATTTGCTTTGGATCTGAGAGGTTCCGAAACCGGGCCAATTCCAGTAAAGCTCCTCCCCATCTCTTCAAGTTCTGCAAAAATCCAAGCATATAAACTCGGTTTTGAGAAACCCTGTACAATTTCCGCCATTACAGCAAAAGAAGAGCTCAGACAAAAACAAAACCAATATATCCGCTTATTTGGAGACGATGCATCCGAGACTGAGACCAAGATTCAGGCTTGAGCCACGTGTCTATATGGGCCTGGTCTTTTAATTTGGGCTATTGATTGCCGTTCTTTTTTTTTTTGCAGCCCAACTTTCCAACATGGTGCCGTTCGAAGCCTTTGTTACGAGACTGTTTTCCGTTCTTAGCCTACATGAACGCCAAGGAGTTCTGATTCTAAAGCAGAAAACGTTATTTTTTCCACCTGCCAAAGGTGGAAACTTTTGGCTTTTTTCTTGAACTATATGTATTTTATTCTAAAATAATATATATATATATATATATATATATATATATACAGCCAATTTAATAGAACTAACCCACATGTAATGACATCCAATTTCTTTTTTTTATATCCTCGTATAAAATTCGTCGTAGCTACAATTTTATACTAGACATATACGATAAATAAAAATATCAATTAAAAAAAATGCTACTGTGAGCATGTAAGGTTATTCATATGGACTTTTCCTGTGATCAGCAGCATTATGACAACTCATGGTTTTGAACTGCAATTATGCAACTAAGTTCACGAGCCACATATAAAAAAACCCTAAATTATTATAAATCTTCAAAAAAAAATAAGGTTAATAAAAGATAGAGCATCACATGAAACAAGATTAAGATGCCTCTCTTTTTCCTTTTCTTTAGCTTTTCCACTTTAGTTTCATTAAATTAAATATTAATTTATACGTAAAAGTTTGCATAAAAATAAGTACGAAAAAACTAATTAAAACAATTTAATAGGTACTTTAATACAATAAATGTCCGTGAGGAACAATGGATGTGGGCATATGAAATCGCAAATATAAATTATATTGATCTGCCAACCAATGTTTGAATGATATTATAATTTAATTACAACTATATTTTATTATATATATATATATATATTATATCAAATATTATTAATGCAAAAGGATATGATATATGGGACGAGACAATCATGGTGATCACATGTACAAAGGGTTTACAAAAGTGAGCTTTCTCGTGACACATTGTCTCCATACCGTTCTAACCTATAAGTTTAGAACACAATAAAATAAAAGAAGATAATATAAGTTTTAAAAGTGACTAATTACACAATATAGTTATTGGAATTAAATGAAATTTATTGGACCGCATAATCTGCCTCTGAACATTATTTTACTTTGGTAACATATGTTTTAAGGATACAAGCTTATTCTGATTTTAATTGGGTTAATGAAGTGGCGAAATCGGTAATTTTATTTTGGCGTGTGATTTGTTTTAAAACAAGTCAACTGATCGAACGGTCTAGAATGAGTCAAACCATCATCGGCTTGAAAGCTACTAAGACGGTGACACGTAGTTTTACTGCAGTGGCAATAGCGTAATTAAATTTGAAACAGAGGGACGTTTTCAAAGTTCAAGTAGCATAAATCTACAGATCCACCTATGGAGTGCCTTCTCTCTCCGACGTGTTTGTCGGCAATCGAATTCTCAAGTCCGGCGAATATCCAGGAAAGAAGAAGGTTCCTCTCTCTCTCTCTCTCTCTATATATATATATATATTCTGAAACCACTGTGGTCTTGTTTGTTTCAATGTTTTCCGGTGAGACTTTCGGGCATGATTCTAGGGTTTAAGTCCTCGGAGCCCTGGTTTTCTCAGTCCGAACAATTTGTTCGTCCGTTTTCATTTCTCTTATGTCCGATGATGAATCTGGGTCTTCAAATTTCCTTGAATCTTTCCCGTGAAATGGTTGTGATTAGGCTTTGGATTAAGGTTTAACTGGAGCGAATGTTAACTTATTAGTTCTGTGTTTTGTCTGGGTTTCCTGGGTTAAATGCTGCATCGAGAACTTGAATAGAACTTTCGCGTTTATGTCGGAGTGACGCGAAAGAGGTTGCCTTGTCTTAAGACTTGTTTCCTGCTTATATGTATTTCACATCTCGGATGGCAAGACTTGTCTTAAGACTTGTTTCCTGCTTCGGGACACCGCATCTGTGTCCGAAAACATGATATATGCTGTTTATATTTAGGCGTGAAAGAAACTTTTACATTGCAATCGGCATTGAATGTTGAATGTTTATTACATAGGGTTTATTTTCCTTTCTCGATGATTCTGCTATTGTTCTTTACTCCGAAAGGGATAATGGGTTCACTGTGTTTTGTTTGTCTTTGTTAGGTTTTGAACCATGGATAGCTACTGGCAACTGGGTAATGAGCTTCGAGGCCAGGCCAGAGCATCAGAGGATCACAAATGGCTGATGGCTGCATCGAAGCTGGCTGAGCAAACTAGATCAAAGGGGGAGCGGATGAACAACCTTGATCTCGCCAAAAGCCCAGCCGAGGTTAGGCCAAGCGAGAAATTCGGGTTTCAGGAAACGAACCTTAACTTCAACATGCTGAACTTGGACTCTAAGTCCGGGGAAAGCATGGGCAAATCTTCTCTGCTAAGTGGTATTCACAGTATGAATGCCATGTCCCCTAAGAATAGCGCAAAATGTTTGGGGAATCTGAACGTTAACAAGTATACAGGCAATGTTGTAACCCACAAAGGGTCCAGCAACAAAAACAACAATGATAATGGCAATCAGAACTCAGCTGTGGACAAGAGGTTCAAAACCTTGCCTGCATCTGAGATACTGCCAAGAAATGAAGTGCTCGGAGGCTACGTCTTTGTCTGCAACAACGACACGATGCAGGAAGATTTGAAGCGTCAACTGTTTGGTAAATTGCTACTTACCCTTATTGTGTTACGCATTTTCAGACACATGGATTGCATTTGGAATATCAACTGACCATGTAAGTTTTGTTTGTCAGGTTTGCCTCCAAGATACAGAGACTCTGTCCGGGCGATAACACCTGGATTGCCTCTCTTTCTCTACAATTATACCACTCACCAGCTACATGGTATCTTTGAGGTGGGTCATCTGCTTTCTCATTTCATATCCAATTGTAGCCGGACTACCCTTCTGTGGATAAACGTTTTGTGGGACTGTGGCATGATATCTTTTTGCACAGGCAACAAGCTTTGGAGGTACAAACATCGATCCGACAGCTTGGGAAGACAAAAAGTGCAAAGGAGAGTCGAGATTTCCAGCTCAGGTTAAAACTTGAAAAACAGCTGTTGCAGTGTTTTTATTCTTTTATGCTTTTGTTAAAAACACTGGGAATTTCTTGCATTTTATATCTCTTCTCTTATCACTGTAACAGGTTAGAATCCGGGTCAGAAATATTTGCAAAGCATTGGAGGAGGACGCGTTCCGGCCCGTTCTTCATCACTATGATGGCCCGAAATTCCGCCTTGAGCTCTCTGTTCCCGAGGTGCTTGTTCGATATTCACACTCTTCTTCCCTACTGACTATATTATCATTGAATCTTTCGCTGTGGCAGAAATTTATTAGAAAATAATGAAAAGAAATCAACAGGAAATTTATATATAAAGAAAAACTCGATGAAGCCTGACGTGGGAATAATGTGTAACAATGGTTTTGGGCCGATTAGATTGAATCAGTGATTAGGATGGAATGTTGGAAACAAAATAAGTGAATCAGAACTTCTCAAACACTTTTAGTATATCGAATGTTTCTGCGTAAGTTCATGCTAGCTATTTATAGAAAGGAAGAAATTAAGTTGAATGAACAAAAAATCCACATAGTACTGTGATTATGAACACAAGTGTGACACCTAACTGCAGCTACTTTGCCGATGTTTTTGGCAGAGAATTAGACATGATGGCCCGAAATTCCGCCTTGAGCTCTCTGTTCCCGAGGTGCTTGTTCGATATTCACACTCTTCTTCCCTACTGACTATATTATCATTGAATCTTTCGCTGTGGCAGAAATTTATTAGAAAATAATGAAAAGAAATCAACAGGAAATTTATATATAAAGAAAAACTCGATGAAGCCTGACGTGGGAATAATGTGTAACAATGGTTTTGGGCCGATTAGATTGAATCAGTGATTAGGATGGAATGTTGGAAACAAAATAAGTGAATCAGAACTTCTCAAACACTTTTAGTATATCGAATGTTTCTGCGTAAGTTCATGCTAGCTATTTATAGAAAGGAAGAAATTAAGTTGAATGAACAAAAAATCCACATAGTACTGTGATTATGAACACAAGTGTGACACCTAACTGCAGCTACTTTGCCGATGTTTTTGGCAGAGAATTAGACATAGAGTTCTGTCGCATTAGCAATGTATTGTTTTTTTTTTTTTTTTTTTTTTTTTTTTTGGGCCAGACGCTTGATCTGCTGGACCTCTGCGAAAAAGCCGGGTCTCCTTAAGGGCCGAATGCCACACAGACGGAAGGATTCTCCCCATTTTGCATAAGCTCTTGGGGGTATGAATGGAGTGTCCAATTCGTGTAACTTACGAAGAAGAACGGAGTGTCGGAATTTTAGGGCAAAGAGAGGCATTTCCCCCTAATAAAAAACAGTGTGTGTCTCTGTGTGTGTGTGTGAGAGAGAGAGAGAGAGAGAATTCTCTTGAAGAAACATATTTGTGTAGAAGCATATTATAGAGAGAGAGAGAGAGACAGGACTAGGCAGAGCCACGAGAATGAAGTGAGCACTGTTTCTGTAATAATATCAAAAGTTATTTGTGAGGAAATGAGAGCTTTTTTTTTTTTTTTACAATAGAGTTCCCCATGGAATCCCATATGCGAATTAGTATTTGGTAGTAAAGAACAACATTGCAAACACAAACTTTTCTGGTAAACAATCTTTGCAAAGTTCTGGTAATAGTAATAATGGTATACTCTTACACAACCATTGAGACATACAAGAGAGAGTGAACCCAATCCAGACATGTCATACCACAAGACAGAATGCCCACCAGACCTACCTGTTCGCATATAGAACTGCCTACTATAACATCCAAAAGGCCGGAGCTCTCGGCACATATCGTTGGATTCGACCAAAACTCCGTATCAAGGACGGGAAAATGTGAAACGAAGATATGTTCTAACGATGCTTGGCTCCATGGAGCTCGAGAATACAATCTCCTCTAATACCTTTGCAGTGTATATATGTGGTGATGATGTGTGATTGTTTGATAAAGTTTGAAGACACATCAACGAGCAGCTGACACTATGAAACTTCGAATTTTCTGCAACAGCTCTGCCTTGACACCGTCTGGCACTGAAGCTGCGTTAAACGTTAAGGTTCAACCCAAAAAAAAAATGTGAGATTCAAAGAATGGAAATTGGTGAATCTAGTGATTGACATCGTTCTGATATAGAAATACTAAGCCCTAAGCTTCCATAAGCCATTCCTGTTAGTGTTCAGTGTAAAAGGTTCCTTCTTGGCGATTGCATTCAACATTACACCCAAATCCCACAAGCACCACATAATTGTAACTCTGTTTCTTTCAGTATCTGACTTGTACATGGGATTCTATTCATCTCATCTCGATGTTTGTTTTAAACTTGCAAAGGTAAAAGCAGCCAAGAAGCCGAACTTATGAACAGCTTTTTCATTGACATCCCAAAACTGTTCCAGCTATACTTGTCTCTAAATCGGAAACATGTACAAAAACCGCAGATGCAAGCACCATCCAAAAACCATTCCACTAGCCCAAAAGCAGATTTTGGGATTAACCACAAACCCAAAATACCACTAGATACAGTTCCATCCACAACCTCCATGTCCATCTGAAAGAAAACTACTCAAGAAGAAATGGTTTTCTTTTTACCTCTGCCCTTTGGAGTAATCACTCGTATCAGTTCATCCACTGTAACATCATTTCTGCCTTTCTTCCTTACATACTCCCTGCACCAAATCATAGCTCCGCATAAACAGCAACAAGTGCACCCAAATCTTTTTCCCAGACAGACCAAATCTTTCAGGCAGGGCTCAAATTCAGTTTCAAATTCTTCTGAAACAAAGTTGTTCAAAGCAAATTGATAGATTTTTTTAGGTAAAAGCGAGAGTACAGAACCTGCAAAGAGCATTCATTTCATCCTTCCAACCACACTCCACCAGTCGATCCCTCACGAGCTCCATCAGATTCTCCTTCTCTCCGCTCTCGACAAGCTACCATAAATTTCCCCCACCAAACACGTTCAAAATCCACACTGAGTCACATCCAAATCCCACAACATTGGGGAAGAAAAACATCGATTCGCATGAGCAAATCAGAAAACCTTGATGTTTATGATTTCACGGAGCGTCAGCTCGTCGTTCCCGTGAGCATCGGCCGCATCTGCTTCCGGTGTCGGAGGCCGATTCACCGAGTGTTTCCTGATCAAAGAAATTGAATCAGTACAGGCAAAATTCAGATGCGATGCTCGATGCTTAGAGGAAAGATACGATGATTCTGTCCCGTACGCACATGAGCTTGATGAGATTGGTCAAGATCAAGAACTCGGAACTTTGACGGAAGGAATCTTTCCAGAATCTGCTGCAGAGCTACCACTAAACCATGGAGACGAAGGCAATGCTGGACATTAGTGTGTATTTATATTGAGGCCCATTTGTAAGAGCTCATATGAGCCCATTTTCAGCAGTGTATTTACAAACCAGCGTTTGCGTTTGCGTCTGCGTTTGAACCGAGAGACGCGAACGCTGAATTCTGGTTCCACACAGACACCGGAGAAAGACAACCGCAATCACAACAATGATTCGAAATCACACTGGTATTCCATCTCTAGTGAAATAGCTTTTTGGATTTATTATTGTTTGTGTTGGTATGTAAAATCAAAGAAAACGCTAGTACGTATTCTTTTTTATGTTAATTTATAATTTAAAAAAGATTAAAAACCCGTTACTTTCTCTTTATCATGAAATAAGCTTCGAGATAAACTGGTTTCACATCGCAAATAAAGAAAGCAACTGGGCCTAGAGCCCAAATTTCAATTCAGATCCCGGACCCGGAACCGGACCCGGAACCGGATCCTTCCCCCCGCAGAGCTGTTCACTGACCCTGGAGGGTGAAGGGCTGAAGGGGGGGAATTTTTGTTTTTCTTATCCACAAATCAATCTTTCGTTTCCTTCGTCGCAGACGGTCATGGCGTCCACCCTCTCTCTCTCGAGCTTCATCTCCTTTATTTCCCCATACAAATTGCAGACGAAAGCTCCTCTGCCGTCGAATCTCCCTCTTCCTTTTCCTGCGGTCTCTCATAGACGGAGAAATTATCTCACTGTCGCATCAATGGCGGCCGAGGAGCCTGCCTCCACCTATTCTTCCGGTTCGATGTCATCTGAGCTTGCTTCGGTGATATACCCGTCTCTGGCGTACGCGAACACGCTTTTCTTCAGCTCGGGCTACAACGTGCAGGTTCTTGTCGATGAGAACGAGCCGGAGGAGAGGCTGCTGAATCGGTTCAGGAGGGAGGTGATGAGAGCTGGAGTTATTCAGGAATGCAAACGTAGGAGATTCTTCGAGAACAAGCAAGACGAGAAGAAGCGGAGGACACGCGACGCTGCCAAGCGTAATCGGAAAAGGTCCGTCTTATTTTCTTGCTGAATTTTGATTTTGATTAGTGCGTATCTTCTGTTTGGTTGCTGAGAAAGTTTGTTGGTTCGGTTGTTCGGTCATCGGAAGCTCCTAGGGCAGGGAAACTTGTTTTCACAGTCTGTAATGTTCTGCGAAGATTGGATACCCGAATCATCTCGCATGACTAGAATTAGGGTTAGAGAAGAACATATATTCTTTCATGGGCATTGTTCAATTGCGCATTTCGTTCTTCAGCAGATGGGATTCTCATTTTTGTAACATTTTGTTCAATATGTATGCAAGGCATGATGCCAGTGGTGGACTTTACTGATTCAAACATTTTTTCACAACGCGTGCTTACCCCTCATGATGCAAGGAACATATGTTGTCTCGTAGCTTTCAAGGATCTTACACGAGTTTAAGCTGAGTTATTTCGGCCCTTGTTGAGACATATCATTCATTTGTCGTGTTGATTTCAGGCGTCCTCAGTCGAGATTTTCTCAGCAGAACAAGGAAGAAGCTCCCAAGAGTAAGACAGAAGACGAGGATAACTGGGACATGCCCGATGGAGATACACCTTACTAAACAGGATTTTCTCGGTATTCTAAATCTTGACCCTTTCGAGTTTTGATATTTTCCAATGTAAGTGGCGTTGCATGATTCAGATTTCGATTATCTCCTCTCTCCTCGTACCTTGTAATGTCTTTTTGTGGACAACTTGCTTTGGGCAATAAAGTTTTTCTTTCGCGCTATTTGAGCCTCACCATCTACTATATTCCGTCTTCCAATAGATGTAAAGAAAAACTTCCTTTGTATTTTGCTTGGACATCTCCACAAGGAGGACAAATACCATTGTTCTCTGCAACATGCCAATAGTAATACTTCTCCAGCCCTCACGAGCCAAGAAGCAGCTTCAGGTTACCTTATTGTGTCTATATAATGACAGCAATTTTGCATGAATTATACATTGAAGTTAGCATCATACAGATACGTTTACCGGTGACTTAGATAGATTGCTTTTCAGATGCAGGCAGGGTACAAGAACCTCCCTCTCTAGTCTAACGTTCACTGTTTTAGACAGCAGTATGGAAAGCTTTATTTGATTTCACATAGAAGAAACCTCCACGGTTATCTGCAGCTGCTTGCTTGTTGTAGACAAGCCGGAGGAATCCTATGATCGGTAAAACTCATCTATCATTATTTGCAGAGATAAATACTTATCACGGTTATTTCATTACAGCGTAAAAAGCATAGTGTAACATTACCGATCTCACAGGTTGAATACAGGCACATCTGGTTTCACTAATCCGACTCATATATGGGGGAGCTAATGCCTGCCGGGTGAAACAACAACCAGATAAATCACTAGGAGAAAACCTATGACAAGGTATGATGGCTTTCACCATCCTCAGCCTTTCATCATTTGAGTTCTTGTGCGTTTTCAACTTAGATTCAAAGAACATAATAGCCCTTAGAATCCCCTGAATTGTGTGTTAAATTCTCGAAATTTTGGTGAAACATGAAAAGAGAGATAAAATGCAAAAGTATAATTTCATTGACCTTGGCAATCATAGAATTTGATTTCATGGTCCACGAGAGCCTTATGTTATCATGTGACCACAGATATGAATGAATAACACAAGATATAATTTAGAGACGAAAACCCGAAAAGCATTGTTAACTGCTGATTATTCTATAAGATAACGAAGAAAACAACTAATAAGATCATGCCAGTTCATGTGGCAATACATTGAAAGTCAGGTTGGCCGGACAAGGAATGGATTCGAGCCACCGAGGAAGTACGAAGGGCGTCAATAACTTAAATATCAAAGGTGCGTTTGATGCATGTTGACTCGTAATATCTTGTGTCCTCATGTTAAATGACACCAAAAGCTCCATATGAGGGTTCCACACGTAGATAACATCCGTCTCGAAAGGGTGCATTGCCTTAGGAATCCACCAGCGACCGAATCCTATAGATGACAGGTTCATATCCCACAGCATCTCCCAATCATTCCCTGAATCACTCCCATTGTTCTTCAGCTTCCAAACCCTAACTTTAGGGTTTCTGTTTTTGTTCGTGTTTATATACATGAGAAATCCACCCGAGGTTGTGAAGAAGTTTTCGTTGCATGGGAAGATTTGTTGATTATCGGGTAAAGATATGATACGAAACTGATCAGCTTCTGATCCATTGGCGTAGAAATCGTGAGTTAGAATGGCAGGATCGAAAGGGATGAAGTTCTGAGGGATGAAATCAGTAGTGAGGACACCCACTTCTAACCAATGCAGACTTCCGTTGAGATTAATCGGGTCGACGTTCAACATGATCCTAATGGCACGAGGGCAATGGATTTCCTTGATAGTCCATTCGCCCGTCTCTGATGAGTATATCTGAAAATCAAGACTCGTCGGTCCTGCGAAGAATTTTGCCATCCTAACCACTTTGTAACCCGAGACTGCCCCGTTCTCCACATGCGTGACGAGTCCCAGGATCTTGAAATAGTCATCTTCGTCTTCTATAGACTCTGATTGTGGAGGAGGGATCTCGACCCATTGTCGTAGAACAGGGTTAGACACGTAATACGTGTCGGATCCAGACAAGGGCTTCACAACCAACAAGACCAAGCCGTCCGTGCAAGCCACAACCCTAGTTTGTTTGATCTTTCGTCTTGTTGCTTGAAGCTCAAGCTTCTCATCGCCCTCCTGATTCTTGAATCTGATCAGATCCTTCAGAAAGGAAGAAGTATAAGAACCCAGAGACCGAGAAAGGCAGTGTCCGTCGCGTCCGCAGTGGGATACGACCTCGTTCATGGAGCCATCGCCATTGAAAACTAGCGACCAAGCAGATGACGATAAATCATGGTTTGTGGAATGGAAGAGACGACGAAAGTGGGCCGATTCAATGAGCGATTTCCATTCTCTGCAAACCAGTTTGAACCTAACGATGTCTCTGAAGGATGAATTCGCAAGGATTCGAGCGAGCATCTCCTCCGGAAGATCCATCTTCTGCCGATATTTTCCTTTGGGGGAGTTTTAATTTGATTTAGATCAGTGCACTAGGGTTTAATATTATGGGGAAAATATAACTTACAGTGAAAAAAATTGGCCATATCTGTTTTTTTGGAAAGATTTCGTGTTTCTTATTTTGATCGCCAAAAAACCATGTAACATGTTTTCCACTTGAATCTACGGATATTACCAAATCCTGTTAAAGATATTACCAAATATTTTCTACAGATTAATACGGCCTCGATGTATATCTATTCGTATTTATCCTTTTTTGCATTTATCTTTATTTGAGGGCCAAGTCTAGTTAAAGAATAAAGTTGATCTAAAGTCAGTTCCTTGGTTCCTAATTGGGATAATTTTTATTTTATTTTGTCAGACAAAGATATTTTGATTTTTTTTTTAAAAAAAAAATCTCGAATAAATATCTAAATTTTAATGTGATTTAATTGATACTTAAAATATTAAATGTACTTTAAATCGATATTTCAAATATTAAAATATCCAAAATTAATACACAACTTTAATTAATTTACCACCTCTCGCTTTTTTATTATAAATTAATATTTAATTTATATCTTATCATCAGAATTAGATAGAGAATCATTTTAACATTTGAGATCTCATAAATCAAATTAAAAATTCTGATATTTATTAGCCATATTTTGTAAAAAATTCAAGTATTGGAAAATTTTCATTTTTTTTTATATATTTTCGGTACCGTTGTTTTGGATTTCAGTTTCTTTTTCAAAATTTTGTAAAAATCTGTAAATATTATTTTATATGCAAGGCCTGTGACCCAGCTATAGGTGAGACCTGCCCGACGAACGGAAGATCAGGCAACTTCAAACAGTTCAACTGCCCTGATGGGTACTACAACGATTTAGCGATCCTCCCTCTCACCACCAACGACGAAGCTGTCGGAAACATCTTCTCTTCGAATACTCCTAATGAGTTCAACCTGGGATCCCTTTGGATATTTTTCATCCTCTACCGCATCTTGGGGATTTTCACGATTGGTATTGCTACCCCGTCTGGTCTTTTCCTCCCCATCATCCTCCTGGGCTCAGCATACGGCCGTGGCATCATGGGATCCTACACAAGCATCGACCAAGGTCGTTACGCTGTTCTCGGTGCAGCTTCTCTCATGGCTGCTTCAACGAGAATGACCGTTTCGCCTTGTGTCATATTCCTGGAGCTCACAAACAACCTTCTTTTGCTTGCTGCCCATTACTACGATTGTGCTTCTAATTGCTAAGACTGTGGGAGACAGCTTTAACCTGAGTATTTACGAAATCATATTGCATCTGAAAGGCTTACCTTTCTTGGAAGCGGATCCCAAGCAGTGGATGAGGAACCTCACTGTTTGCGAGCTTGTGGGTTCTAAGCCCCCAGTTGTAAGCCTTCACGGCGTAGAGAAAGTCGCTAACATAGTTGATATGCTCAAGAACACCACACATAATGTGTTCCCAGTTTTAGACGATGCAGACGTGCCTCAGGTGAGTTTAGCTGATGGCGCTACAGAACTGCACTGGCTGATCCTGAGAGCGCACCTCATTAAAGTTCTGAAAAGGAGATGGTTCTTAACGGAGGGAAGGAGTACCGAGGACTGGGAAGTTAGGGAGAAGTTTACCTGGGTTGAATTAGCGGAGAGAGAGGACAACTTCGAGGAAGTGGCGGTCATGAGCGCTGAAATGCAGATGTACGTTGATCTTCACCCACTCACCAACATGATCCCGTACACGGTTGTGGAGAGCATGTCGGTGGCCAAGGCTATTGTGCTGTTCAGGCAAGTGGGTCTCCGTCGCTCGTTGTTCCCAAGATCCAAGCTGCAGGGGTGAGTCCATGCCTCTCATTTCACTTCTGTACCTGCTAAAACAAACTTAACAGGACTAACTTATATGGTGATCACTATTCGCTTTCAGATGTCTCCGGTGGTCGGATCTTAACCAGGCAGGACCTAAGGGCATACAAGCTTTTCCTCACCTGGAGAAATCCAAAGGCGGAAAGGGGCACTGAATGGTTACATTTACCAAGGATCTGCAGTGGCTTGCTGCAGTGTCGAATTCTTCCAATTCTTGGAGATATTTCTACTCAGTTTTACATTCTTTCTTCATACTCAACAGGTAATTAAAAGATAAATATATGATAGATTTGGTTTTCTTCTTGTAAAGCTTCTTTTTTTCCACGATCAGTTTCACATAATAAGAAAAGGACCATATCCCCTGTATAATAGAGGCGGTGCAGGACAAAAATGATCCCTTTATATTTGGGATGCCCTCTCTGACCTTTGAAGTTCAGGAGTTACAGACACGCGATTCTTCTGCTTGCATGCTTACACAAAGAATCCTTACTTGGATCCCCCCTTCCGCCTTTCAGACTCCTCATTAGGAACTTTTTGTGTTAAAGATAACACTGTCACTTCTAAGCACGCAACTTCTTTTTTCCAGATTTCTTCTTTTTCTTGACCTCAACCTTCCTCTTGAACACGGCCAAAACTTCAATGCTGGAACCCATTTCTGAATTAGGCGATAAAGATATAGTTGCACTGTAAGACAAAAATTTAGGCGGTAAAGAACTAATACCTCTGGGTACCGGGAAAGAAATTGAAACCGTGGGCTTTTTCTAGGTCCCATGCTTTGCTAGATAATAACACCTTGCAGTCCTATCATAAGAATCAAAACAGAAGTTGAACGACAGTGATGTCATGTATTTGTGACTTGTTGGTCATAACTAAGCAAGATATCAATATCTTCCTTCAGTACCTCCTTAAAGCTTTCCCAACCACAGCTTATATATATTAATGTTTGAGGCAATACTTTACTATCCTCAGCAATCAATTTGTTGCCAGCTTGGACTGAAGCTTCCCTTGCTCTTAAAATCCATGGTCTCTTCTCTTCTTTCGGCTTTGAGGTTGAACTGAAATCATAGAATGTCAACTGAACACAATGATCTAGCTTTTGGAGGCAGAAAAGTCAATTACTAGATTTGAAGGCTAATTCAAAAGCTTTGTTGGATGAGACTCAACAACCTTTCTGGTGATGACTTAAATTTTTTCTCAAGTGAGGCCACAGACTCCAAGGCATGAATCAGAGATGCATCCAGACCCCTCCGAGGAGGGTCAACGACAAGTACATCTGATCCTATAATCCATGAAACAGGGTCCTGCAGAATAGTGAAACCAAAGTGGAAACATCTTTAAAATGTTCAGAAAGCATTTCTAAGTTGAGACATATCTTGCTAAAGACAGGCTACTGACAACTGAAGCATCTGCATGGTGCCAGCTGATGCTGCAATCTGGTGAGGTGGGTAACCGCTGGATCGTCTTCTCAAAAGACTGTTTTGCCTCTTTGTTAACCTCAATGCACTTGACAGAACTGAAATAAGTATCAAAACGTGCGATCATTCTTTTTATCCATATGAACACACAAATAGTACTCTAAGACAAAGGACAACTGTAAACCATCTCTTCTTGCCTGCATTTCCTAGAGAAAGCTAATGATAATCCAATTACTCCAGCTCCGGCATATAGATCACCAACAGATGCTCCACGGACAACATACTCTTGCAGTTTCCGGAGCAAGCTATTGAAAGCCTGAAAATATGCACCAGATGTTGTAGGAATCATAAGCTTCACATAAGAAGCAACAAAAGATTCTCTCACTTTAAACTAGTAAATCCTGTACTGATCTAGTTCCGGTTTGTAAAGTCTGGCTCGATAACTACATGCTCACCCGTGTATTTGCTTGGCCAAAACTGAAGGGATCCAAGGATATGTCAATCCCTCCGACGTGTTCCCAGAAATCTCTCTCACCTAATAGATGCCTCCACCGATTGCCAAATATTATCTAACACAAACAAAATTATAAAGTCATAGGTCAACCAACGGAAGAATAAGAAATCTGGAACATTTTTGTGCAGAAAATCTTCCTCCTCCCACCATCTTTTTATTTTCCCTTTTTTTTGTAAAGACATTCCTCCGAGTTGGAAAAGCAAAGGCATTGGCATTACGAAATCTATAAGTCAACATAGACTTTCCCTTAATCATTCCCCCGAGAATAACGAAAGTGTTTTCTTTTACTCACATTGTTAGTTGATGTCTGAAAGTTAGCCCAGACAGAGTGGATCAAGTGAAACTTGCTCTTTGGTCCACCCCTTCTCCATAAGAACTGCAAATGACAGTGATTAAGTGATCTAAATACAATACGAATAAGATGAAAAGAGGATTGCAAACACAAGAAACCACGATGCAAAGGTGCTGGAAATCTCACATTGGACAGAGCATGCAGTTTATCTGAGTTATGGGATTTCTCATTTCTTGAGTTCCAAACTAAGGATACCTGCACTTTTCCTGGAACCAAGATTCAAATTCAGCAATCTCAGTAACAATATTAATCTTGATAGATAAATAAAATCTTAAAAATAGAGAGCCGGTGACCGTTTTTGTATCTCTCTTGCGCAGGAAGTGATGTGCTGTGCGTCGTAACAGCCATCTGCAGCAAACCCCATAATTACACAATGCATACAAACTCTAGTACAAATTTCCATATATACTCCGTCCTAATCCATATCAATCACCTGAACATATCGTAAGTCCCCTGTGCCAAGATCCTCATCAAATGGCTCGACATTCAACTCCTTAATACCTTACATAAAAAAAAGTACCCAAAGTACGGCCAAAAAAAAAACTATGAACAGTTTCCAGCACTGAATTAGGAAACAATAAGCAGAAGCCGTCACTACTATTCTCAAGTAGAAAAGGAATCGCTACCTGCTCTCAGTAACTCGACTGCAGCATTGATATTAGGATGATGAGCTGCAAAATCACAAGCTTAATATGTAATCATAACCATCACGGAAAGATATTACCAAAAAAAAAAAGTTCACACTGCGGATCTTCTTCTAAGCAACGCGTAATCTATACCTTTACATTGAGGAATATCGACAACAGTATGAGTTCCTTCCTGGTAAAGCCCTATCAACGCATTTCCCGACGAGCCACGAACTGCCAATTTCGCTCGGCACCTCCATCCCCACTGCAACCGGAAGCATGAAATTCGAATGTCTCACCAAAAATTGGACTAATAGTACGAGAAATGAGCAACAGGAAGAGACAATTACCAGCCTACAACTATCGAAAGTGAAATCGTCGACGCCGACACGCTTGAAGAAATCGGAAGCTTCGTCGACGATCACTGGACGGTGGAGATTGAACTCGTGCGTACAACCGGAGCACCTGAAAGCCAAATCGCCAGGGAGAAATTCCAAGCTTAAATCGAAAAAATCAAAGACATGGTTACGATAATTGAACTATGGGAAAATTCATAGTTCATACGACTGGAAATGAGGGCATTGGAGTGCGCAAGATAGCGAGAGGTTGGAGATAGACGCGGAGGAGCTCGGCGGCGGAGGAGGAGGAGGAGCAACTTCCGGCACGACCGGAGAGGACGCGTGGCAGGTGATGATTGGATAACGAGCGCCGAATGAGAAGGTGCTCGACGGCATCGCTCCTCTACTTCACCAGCAGAGAATTTCTCCGTATCTCAGTGGCGGGAGTGGATAAACCCATGTAGGGAATCTTCGGTTAAAATATCTTTGCTGATTTTGCCTGACCTGTGACCCGGTTTAAATCAGTGGGTCCCACAGGAGGACTTTGGTGAACTTAACGACGTCGTTTCCGGAGCACATGGTGTTCCCCAAGGGGTGTCAATCGGGCCGGCCCGAAAGTTTCGGATTCGGGCTCGGGCCGGCCCGATTTTTTTCGGGTCTATATACTTAAGCCCGAAGCCCGGCCCTATGCACTCCAGGCTCGGGGCGGGTCGGGCCGGCCCGCGGATTTTCTTTGTAAATGTTATTTTTTTTCCTTTTTTTTTTTAAATTTTCGAGCTTTGGGGCCGGTCCGATTCGAACCCGAAGCCCGATTTGAGCCCGGCCCGAAAGCCCGATTTGTTTTGGACCAAGAAACTTCGGTCCAAAACCCGCTATTTTTCGGACTGGGCCGGGCCGGACTTCAGGCCTCGGGCCCAAATTGACACCCACAGAGCTTGCATGCCGTTTCGCTCCCCAGCTCCACAATGCTTAGTCCCAAATATTTGAATACTGGATGGAAGGCCCCAAAAAAAAACATAATTAACCGGTTGATTCCAAAAATGAATGATTAAACCGGTCGATCAATAGATTACCGGTTAAGCTAACCAATACAATTATTGAACATACCCAACCCAACTGACACTGATCCGGCACCTTGAACGTTTAGCTAAACCGGAACAAACCAGAATCGCTCACTTCTTTTCTGTGTTTCTTTCTCTTTTCTTGTTTTGGTTCTAACAATTAACTTCCTTGCCAACGCTGCGTTAGCCTACGTCTATATATACATATATACATACACAAACGAAATGCATGAACGTTACTTAAGAGCCAAGACTTCAAAATGGGTTGTAATTTGTATCCATTGATGTACAAGAACATCTAACCTTGTGACTGAGTTCACACCCTCACATATCACAAAAGGGTTAATTTACTCTCATCTCTTAGCAAATCCTTTGAAGTTTCACCACTGCAAGTACCTGTAAAAGATCGGATCATCCCCCTCTCTGCAATAGCTATTCTTAAGTCTGAGTTCCATTTCTCATATACAATTGGTCAAGATTTCACGTTTTCATTATCAAGATCCCAACTTTTGTCAAGTTTTTCAGATCTCTCTCTCTCTCTCATTTTACTGCAACTGCCACAGGGCTCATCTTCTTCCTCTTCCCCGAAGAACTTCCGCATGAGCCAAACCCGGGAAGACACCGATACCCAGAACTAAGGCTCTTCTCCTTCTCGGATACAGAATTTTCAATGGCCTTGAGTTCATTGCTGCAGACATCAGAGTTTGCTCGGGAAACATATGGAGCGGTACAATCTGATCTCTTGCTCGCTTCGCTTTGGTTTTCGGGCGAATCTTCCGCAGAATCTTCGTATTCTTCTCTTATGCTGTCTCTGAAAAGCTCGGCTAGTTTCTTCCTTCGGAGCAATGGAGCAGGAGATACATTCGGAGGCCTTTCCTCGTACAAAAGGTTGTGCATACGGGGAAGTCTCTCCGAAAAGCTGCTTTTAGGAGTGTTTCCACGAGACGGTGTGAAATCTGAGTAAATAATCGGATGAGAAGGGAAAATGCTCTAAATCTTTGATTGTACGTCAAAACGTAAAAAGAGAATGAAAAGTTTTGGTAACGGATCCGCGAGTGAAAGACTCACCACCATTGACACTGTGGAACTCGTCGTCGGATTCTAGCCATGGCTGCGAATCGAAGAACGTTTCCTCTTTACTTCCTGCCAGAGTAATAAAAACAGAACACATTTTCAGACTTCAGAGAAAAGTTTAACAATTTGCAAATCTTGTTTATTCAAACACTTTTTCCAAAATTCATTTTTCTGAATCTGAATCAATGAGATCAATGAACATATGGGGCTGCTCTTAAACACACTGAATTCCCCGGGGAAAAAAGATTCCGAATTTCCTGGAAACCCATCAAATTAAAAGCAAGAAGATCATCAAAACAGAGTAAAGAAGAGTTTTTTCACTGTTTTTGAGATATGGGTCACTGTTCTAGTGGACAGATTTGAATCACAATTACACCAAATCCCTTTATTTTTCCTACCTTCTTGTTCACAGTGCCCACCCACCACTCCCAAACATAGAATGACAATCAAAAAGGAGAAAATATGTCAATTTTGCAGAGAAAAAGGCCACTGGCTTTATCACAAACAAAAGAGACTTGTGAATTAAGAAAGAACCTGAAATTTCCGGGTCAATAGAGACAACAAGAAGTTGAGAAAACGTTTTAAGAACATCTTCGTCAAACTTGCCCAGGAAATAAGGAAGAAGAAAGTTTTGTGACCATGAACAATATATATATATGTATATATATATGAGATGAAGGTGTATAGGCATGTATGTATGTATTATGACCGTATGTATATTTAAATCTGAGAAACCCCACACCCACTGTCAGACCGGACATCATCATAAACTAATCATTTCGTCAGTACCCAACTAGGAAGAAGAAGAAAACAACACGACAGCTCTATATGAACAACCACCATCCATAAACGGCAAAATATCTGAAAACCCATCTGAGAAAAGACAAGAGATTCCTCGAAAAAGTACCGAAGCTCTTCTTCGCAGAAGAAAACGACCACCGATATTTGACCGGACGAACTTCCGCCGCCGTCGGAGTATCGCCCGGGACCGAGTTATCCTTTCTGGGCGATTCTGGGAAATCCATGAACATATATGTTATACATGGAGATGTGTATCTAATATCATATTTATATTCATCTTCCGAGGAGCCTCAGATCCCCAGTCGGATCTGTTGAAAATCTGAGAAACACAGAGAATGTTTGGGGCAAACCCAAGTGCCAAGAATGAACAACAAAAACAAACGGAATCTGTAGACGATAACAATGAAGAGATTTCAGATGGAAAAACCAAACCTTTGTTGACTCACGTTAACGTCCTCACGCTCTAATAAGATGGAACATCATTATAAACTAATAATTTTCATTAGAACACAGACAGAACCAAAAAAAAAAAGCAGCTTTATGGGAAAAAAAAACAATCCTTGAAAAAGGCAAAACACTGAAAAGTGAAAACCCATCTGAAAAAAACGCAGAGATTCCGAGACAAATACCTAAACTTTTCTCGGCAGAGGAAAAAGACCACCGAGATTTGACCGCTGCGTCACCGTCCTCCGCCGCCATCGCCGGCGTAGTAGCCACCGGGCCCGAGTTCTCTTTCCTGGGCGATTTCGGGATCACCAAACTGTCTGCTCTTGTCCCAAAAGCCATGAGCTTTATCGCTGGACGAGGCCGAGACTTATCAACCGACGCGCACGAACCCATCCGCAACGCAAAATATCGATCAATATGAGATACAGAAGTGAGAGAGAGAGAGAGAGAGAGGAAGCGAAGCTCAAATGAGGAAAATGAAGTTTTGGTCTCGAAGAGGTTGATATGTACAGCCGAGTGAAAGATCGCAAGCCGACGATTCTTCTTCGGCGGGAGATGGATGTGGGTCCCATCGTACACGGAGCCCACTCAGCTTTTGTGTTCTTCCCTCGTGAATCAAGAGTCAAGACTGTAGAGCATGGCGCGATGAAACGACATCATTTTGGCAAAAGAACCTTGTCACGGCTATGTCGTGCGAATATAATGGTGGGGCCCGTGAGCTTTTTGCATGACGTGGCTTTTTTAAAGCTCACTTAACAGTCTGATTAGTTCCCAATCACGTATTAAGAGATATGGCAATTTAATCACGTCTGCGATTTGTTGTCTAAAGTTTGACCATTAGATGGGCTTCTATTATTGGGCCCAAACTTAGCCCATATAGATATAAGGATTTCTGAATGTGAGAGATATTGACTAGACACATTTTGATTTAATTTTTTAATCATTTATTCAATTGTAAGATATTGGGCCAAAAAAGGCCCACGTAGGCCCAAATGGGTTTGGGTGTCGTGGGTCGCATCGCAGCCACTGCGTCACCGTGGAACTGCCCATTTTTCTCTCGTATCTGTTTGGTTGCAAAATCTCCTCTAGTTTTCTCTTTCTCTCTCTCTCCTCGTTCGTCGCCGTCGCTGATCCAGTTGATTCATATTCCGGTGAGTTTTTCTCCGGATTTTTTCTTTTTTCTCAAATCGTTCTTTTGGATATTTTTTCCTTCGGATTGTGTATGTTCTTTTGGATCTGATGAGAGTCGGATTCTAGGGCTTGTACGCTTGAATATGAGTATGGACGTGTTGAATCCGCGTTTCACTACTTGATTATGCTTCTACAACTCATTTCTGTTGTCATTTTCAGCGGGTCGATTGGTGTTAGTTTTGATCTAATGGCTGGAGGAGGAATTATCCAGCAGCTTCTGAGGAGGAAACTTCACTCCCCTTCAGTGGTGAGTTTTTTCGGCTTCCGATTTTATCTGTTAGATTTCAATTAAGTCAAGGCTGTTTTGATTTTCATTTCTATGGAGGTGATAGAAGTTCAGGATTTATTCATGATAAAAATAATCCAAAATTTCTTTTGGGTTTTCTTAGCTTCTTGTGATGTTTAGTGCTTGGGAGATTCGCGTTAGCTTATGATGACAAAAAAACTTGTCCTTGACACTTCCTTTTGTTTCGTTTCTCGTTCTCCGGGAAATCCACACTACACTAGCCTTTTGAGAGGATACTGGTTCACATGCCATTTCCCATGTCAGCTTTCACGGGCAAAAGACGACGTTTCCTCCCCGTGGATGTTTTTGGTGATCCGGAAAATGTAACTCTGACTGAAATATCATATAGCCTTGAGCCTTGTAAAGCTCTGATTAGTGGGTTGCTCTTCAGTGGTGAACTTTTGAGGAGGGGAATTCTTCTTTTGAAGTATCGAGTCGTTGTTTCTTGTAGGCGGCTCCGGTCCTGTCATGGTTTTCTTCGAAGAAAGCTCAGGAGGATGCTTCGTCTGCTGGTGTTAGAGCTCTGTTACTGATGGGTGCTGGTGTGACGGGATTACTGAGTTTTTCAACAGTAGCGTCCGCTGATGAGGCTGAACATGGTTTGGAGTCTCCGAACTACCCTTGGCCCCATGATGGCATCCTAAGCTCATATGATCATGCTTCGTGAGTCTTGGCTTGGCAACTATAGTTATGCTAATATTCTTGGCATATCAAGCTATAATCATAGCTTCATAGATATTATGCTGTTATATATTGAATGCTATGCTTGATGTAAAATACAACCACGTAAAGATCTGCTTTTAACATTCCAGAGCTTGATGTTATATGTTCAGGATCCGACGTGGGCACCAAGTTTACCAGCAAGTCTGTGCATCTTGTCACTCAATGTCTCTGATCTCGTACAGAGATTTGGTGGGTGTTGCCTACACAGAGGAAGAAGCAAAAGCAATTGCAGCTGAAATTGAGGTTGAAGATGGACCTAATGATGAGGGTGAGATGTTTAGTCGTCCCGGTAAGCTCAGTGACTGGTTTCCTCAGCCATACTCGAACGAAGCAGCTGCAAGGTTTGCTAATGGAGGAGCATATCCTCCAGATCTAAGTCTTATAACCAAGGTGTGACTTGTTCACGAAAACCTGTGCATCTGTAAAAATTTGTGCTATATGATCTAAAACGTCTTTACTGTTCTGTCTACCAGGCACGCCACAATGGCCAGAATTATGTCTTTGCTCTTCTGACTGGTTACCGTGACCCGCCTGCTGGTGTTTCGGTAAATTATGTCTCCTCCATCTCTCTTTTGAGCTGGACTTCTTTCGACTTCCTATTATTGATTGTTGAAGCAATCCTGTGACAACCGTTTAGATAAGAGATGGTTTACACTACAATCCTTATTTCCCTGGGGGAGCAATTGCTATGCCCAAAATGCTCAACGATGAAGCTGTGGAGTACGAAGATGGTCCCCCTGCCACAGAAGCTCAGGTTAGTTTTCCTTTGCTGAGAAAAACTGAAAAGAATGCTGATCTCGGGATTCACTTGAATGGTTTAATTCTGTGTCGTTATCGTAATTCGTTATGACATTCATGGCACCAGATGGGTAAAGATGTTGTATCATTCTTGGCATGGGCAGCTGAACCAGAAATGGAAGAGAGGAAATTGGTAGGTTCATCTTCTTCTGATGTCTTCAATATCATTCCAACACACACACACACACACACACACACACATCGACGTATATATATGCTGCTATCACTTTTTACTTGCTCTGTATCTGTATTGCCAAAGTTTAAGACCTTGATGTATAACAGTTTACACCCAAAAAAAAGAAAGCTCTCTCCTTACCATTTTACTGCCGAGTTTTCCTCTGGGGATATTTCCGATAACTTAGGGCTGATGGCAATTGCAGATGGGATTCAAATGGATATTCCTACTGTCGCTTGCTCTGCTCCAAGCTGCGTATTACAGGAGACTGAAGTGGTCGGTTCTCAAATCCAGGAAGCTGGTCCTCGACGTTGTGAACTGAATAAAAGCTTTGAACGTTTGTTCGCACAGATGCCCTGTCAAAGTCAAATAGAAGAGGAGCCCATTTGGTCAGGTAATAATAACATTCCTGTTTGTTTTTGCCCAATTCGCAATTTGAGAGCTGTATTATCAGATTAGGGAGGAAAAAATGGAATAAAAGCTTTATTTTTACCTTCATATATAAGTTATAACCCTTGATTTTTATATTATTTTGATTGTTGTCATTATTCACACTAGAACTGCCTGACTTCTTACTCTTTGCCAACAACGACACGATTCTACAAGGAAAAAAGATTTAACAAATGAGATTTTGGGTATCTGGATTCGAAATCTGAATGGTTTGGTGCTTAGATACTCGAACAAATATTTGGGCGTCTGTGTTTAATCTGAATTCGAACTTCTAATTTTAGTTTCGTTAAAAACTTCCATTATCGGGAAAATTGTTTGGATATCTGAACTGGGTTCTCGGTTTTTATTTTGAAATTTAAAGGGCATTATATCAAAAATACCCTTAAAATGCTACTTCTACTTCAACACCTACCATTGTGATCATGTGACCAATGTGATCGAAATATAGTGTAGTCACATATTGATCTCATTGTTCATAACGTTAAATTTATGATGTTTTAATCAAATGATTAGTAAGATATACAAGGTATAAACATAATGAATTAGTGTGATCACCATAAATTTAACGTTATAATCGATAAAAATCAAAATGTGACCATACTATATTTCGGTCACATTGGTCACATGTGATCAGGGTAGGTCTTGAAGTAGAAATAGCATTTGTAGAAATAGCATTTTAAGGGTATTTTTGATAATGCCCCAATTTAAAGACATTTCAAGATACATTTGTAATTTTAAAAAAAAAATTCCAAACGTATTTTATTACTTTGGCATCTGTTCAGATATCTAATTGTAAAATCACAAAATTTGAATCCTATTTATCAGTATCGAAAATCTGATAATCTTGCCATTCTAAATGGTCAAAAATCGAATCTTATTTATGGGCCTAATTTACGATCTGTTTATATAATGTAAGCCCATTAAGGGCCCAGATCAATCCAGTAATGGGTTCAGAAAGTCAATACAAAATCCATCACAGTCAAAATCCTTTGGTTTTCCAAAGAAGAACTTCTCTCCGAGTAAATATGGGCCTTAATGCGCTTTATTGTTAGGCAATCAGATGGGTTTCATATTTGAGGCCCATTTAGATTTTGATGGATTAGCGCGTGTGGTTTACGCCACGTGGAGAGCAAGTGAGGAAGGTTGTAAGGAGACCTGGAAGGAAAAAAAAAAAGAGACGCAATTATTATGGTCAACGGATTTTAGACACATTGGAAAAAGATAAAGTTCCCAGTAAACAGCATTCAGCCACGTGTGTCTCTCTCTCCATCTCCGACCTAATCCCTCCAAAACCACAGCCAATGATCTCCTCCTATTTTTTTTTCCTAATCTTCCATATTTAAATTAATTTATGTGTATATATATTAGTATTGATTTCTTATATATATTGATAGAAATCAAACCAAAATTTTCTATATCGAGTCATTCACAACACCGTGATAATGTTTTATATATATATATAGTATTATTAAAACTTGTGATTGATGTCTCGTGAAATACGAGATAAAATATTTTTTATTTCTCCACCAACTACTTATATATATATAAACGATGTTGATGAGATCACATTTGATGTGCTATATAATGATAAATTTTTAAAATTCATTGAACACGCCCTCAAGGAAGAATGTGACATTTTCATTAAAAAAAAATATGCGTGCATTATATTGTCCGAATTATAAAATCACAGATATCATACGCATCCAACCAAAAGGATTCTAACAGCAAATAAAAAAAATAAAATATGTGCGAAATCCATTGGTCTATGTTGAACCAAGCTTTATCTAAGGGTGATGATGCATACGTCTCCAACCATAATACTCATTGATATATCGATTCATTTGCACCCACACACACGCTACACGCACGAACACGCACATGACACATGTATATGCATACATGCATGTGGCATATATATACACATATATATAGTTCCTTGATGGTGACAGCCTTTTATGAGAAGGGAGGACACTTCACGCAATCTCATTGGACGAAACCCTCACAGCCAATCAGAAGCTAAGAGACCAGATGCTATTAGCCCTTCATGGGTCCCACACTTACAATTTCATAATACCACAGTTTCCCCGAAACACCAAATTCATAGATACTCTGGAGAACGAATCTCTTATAGATTATTTTTGTGGGCCTAAAGTATGTATCCTCTTTAATTACTTATATAGGAATGTAAGCATCATACACAAAACATAAATATTCGAACATACAGCATAGTATATATGTGTGTCTATATATATACATGATCACGATGAGGAGCGATTACATAATAATATTTTGTTATAGACAATATTTTGCATCCATTTTTGGAAAATGTGATTGCCAATGGAAATATAGAGGGCAAAAAAGTAATCTCATGTGGGGGAGTCACTATAAATTCCGTATATGATGTGATGTGATTAATTTCCGGTTATAAATATTATTAATTTCAGAAAATGCTTTGAAGTGGCCAGTAATTAAAATTTACAACACACAAATTTGACAGAATTCATCCTTTCAATTCAATTAGTTTAACAATTAATTAATGCATATATATATATGGTACTTTGCGTGTCTTAATATGACAATTCAAAAGCTGTCACATCACAGTTGTTCTGCATGGTCTACGATATTGTAATATAATCCATTTAATTTCTACGATTATTAATCTCTTACAATGTGGGCGTATATATGTAATATTTATACACCTGAAATTCTAATTCAAGTACAAATTAAATATAAAAGTTGTTTAAGAATATATTAGCATGCTTAAGAGTGCTCAATAATTTAATACCAAAAAAGATATTCAACAAATATCTTACTTTGAATATTTTCGAATTCCAGTGGTATATAAACATAAAAGACGTTGAGATAATAATAATGTGTTCTAAAATGTTTGTTTTTTTTTAAAACGTTTTGATGTGTAACAAAAAAAAATTTGTTTTATCGATGATAACGCCAAAACAATATTTTTGAATTATGTTGTGACAGATACACTCGTACCATATGTGTATATATATATATAGGTCCACATATAAATGTTAAAAACTATATCCAACCGAACAAATGAAATTAGTAAAATATGCTGCGCTATACAAATCGAATATACACAACTTTAAACACTTAGTATGGGAATACAAAGACATACGGAAAGCATTGAAGACAAACGCACATATACATATACATATACATATATAGTCGTATAATCATGATTACAATCTTAGTCATATTATATAATAAACAGCACTTCAAAAATACTGAGATTTTCAGAACTGTTACGAGAATTTGGCCTGAAAACCTGGGAATTAACCATAATCGCGAAAAGGGATATTTTCCTTAAAACAAGAAAAATAGAAACAACACAGAGACATAAATATGGTGTAACGATGACATAGGAAATCAACAGCACCGTCCAATGATTTCACTTGCCCTAGACACGTGGCGCTTTACCATTCCATCCCCCGTTGTCCCGTTTGATAATCCCTTCGGCTCACCGGAGAGACACAGAAAGGCTAGAAAGAGAGAGAGAGAGAGAGAGAGTGAGAGAGAGAGAGAGAGTAGAGAGAGTGAAGAGTGAGAGGAGAAGGAAGGCGAGAGAGAGAGTGATGAATAAAGATGAGCTGTGGCGCTCGCTAAGATGCGCCGGGAAGGCGCAGGATAAGGCTGTCGTCGAAACCCTCATGCTCCGGTACCGTCCGATCGCTCCAAAGCCAACGACTGGTCAACCGTCCGTGGGAGACGGCAGCAACTCGTACGGTACCAGCAAAAGAACAAAGAGAAAATACGTTAGGGTTTCGAAGAATAATAAGAATAATTGCAGAAGAAAAGGCAGATCTGAAGCATCTGAATCGGAGAATGAGCCGAAAGCCTCCGACGATGTCGTCACACTTCAGCTATTACCGGAGAAATCTGATCTGAACGACGAATCTACGCCGTTGAGCTCAGAGAATTTCGATCCGACGGTGGAAAGGATAACCGCAGGGAAACCCCACGTGATCGGCACGTGGATCGTTGTCAACGGCGGAGGTCCGGCGGATCCGTCGGCGGGGATGCGGCGGGAAACGGTGGTGGAGTCGTGGGTGACGGTGGAGTCCGTTACAGGAGCATGCGACGTCGGTGGTTCGAGTTCCCATGCTACGGGGTGTACGGACGTGGAGATATTGGAGACATTAGACAAGGACACGTGTCCCTGGTTCATATCCGACAGCTCGAACCGCGTGATGTGGGTGAACGAAGCATACAGGAGAACTGTGTCCTGCAGCATCGACGGAGGAGAGCCGCCGGTGGTGGTGGTGACGTTGGTGACGGACGGGACGACGCCGTTCCACGAATTCCAGAGTTTCACGTGTAGGGTTCGGCTAAAGTACACGTGGCAGGAGGCGAGGTACACCAAAACGGTGCCGTGTGATGCGTGGAGGATGGAGTTTGGTGGATTTGCATGGAGGCTTGACACCAGAGCTGCTTTATCTCTGCGCCTTTGATGATGGGTAAGATATTGAAATATTTATTATTGTAGTAAATAAATGACACAAAGTCTGAGATCTTTAAATTGTTTAGCGCTTCTCGCTGGGATCAGAAGGTTCGCAAAAGGAAATACGGACCGAAAGATGAAATTTATTTCATGTGGTAAAGTGTGAGAAATCGCCCGAGCAAGAAGAAATGTATGTGTATAAAAAGATGCCATTGCGTGGATTTGTATTGATTTGGGTTGTGTTCTCTCACCAATTGACAAAAACCCATTTCGAAAAATCGGAATTTTCAAAAAGATATTATCATTTGTTTTTATTGTTCACAATATATTAATGTCGGATATTTATCGTTTGTTTACAAAATATTATACGAAACTAATCAAGTTTTTCATGAGGGGCATTATCAAAAATACCCTTAATTTGCTATATGTACTTCAAGCCCTACCCTTGTGACCATGTGACCAATGTGACCGAAATATAGTGTGGTCACATATTGATCCCATTGTTCATAACGTTAAATTTATGATGTTTTAATCAAATGATTAGTAAGATATACAAGGTATGAACATAATGAATTAGTGTGATCACCATAAATTTAACGTTATAATCGATAAAAATCAAAATGTGACCATACTATATTTCGGTCACATTGGTCACATGTGACCAGGGTAGGTCTTGAAGTAGAAATAGCAAATTAAGGGTATTTTTGATATAATGCCTTTTCATGAGATGAACGACATGAACTTGCATTGGTACCCCTGCCGTCTTAGGGACCATATGACACATCCACACTTTGGTTCCCCACAGGCCACAACACACACACAAACATTAACCTGCATACATGTATTCAGTTTCATATGCATAGGCAAACTATAAACGGATGCCACATATTCTCTCTTTCCCGCAAATATTATTTGTTAGCAAATACACATTCATGTATCATACATTATAATCAGAAATTTTCATCTTTTCCATGTACATAATAAATACTTCATGAATTGACAATTCTTCAACTCGTTTTATTCCACGTACGATGATGTATTTATTGTTATTATATGTTTTAAGCCTTTTTTTTTTGGGTAAACTATATGTTAAGCCTTTCATACGTGTATATTTACATTTTTATATGTGTTGTGATATTTGATACGTACCACTATGCATGCGCATGTATATGTACACACATATGTAGAGATGCCCGTACGGGTAATGATCGACTATCAAATCACTTTCATTGTGGTTTTTGCTAACTATTCGACGTGTGGACTCGTCCCATTGGTGGATGTAAAAGACATAAAAAAAAACATAACAAAAAAAGGTCGGAGAGAATAATAAATAAAGTTAGCCATCACGCCTACCACATAGGATACGTACACGTGGCTTTTTCCTACCGAGGATTTGATAAAATCCAACCAATCGTGTCCCGGCATTTCTCTAGAGTCTCGGTTCTATTCGACATAACGACGTCATCATCACAACTCTTTGGGTCCCAAACTGTCACATAAATCTCGTCCGTCCACGTTTCTCCTCGTGGTTCGATCAGACCGTACGTGAACTCACGTTTTCCTGCCGCGAATGATGGAATATCCCAACGTTTTTTTGAGTCGGCGCACTACCCAATGAGAGTCCGTCACGTGTATGTTTTCTCGAAGTCCTAAAAAGCTTTTTTTTTTTCTCTGGTTAATATTATTGTACCTTTCCCTCGAGACAGGTAAAAGGCGATATTTTTCAGTGTAATTACAAATTTTCGGTGTATTTTTTGGTAAAATTTCAGGCTTAATTTCTCGAAAATAACTTGGAGGTTTTCGATAATTTGATGTACGCATCTATCGAAGGAATGCCCAGATTTTGTAAATCTTATGCCCAAATATGATCCTATTGTCGCACATCCCTGTAAATGATAATAATAATAATAATAATAATAATAATAATAAATAACCTTTTTGGTTGTTGATTATGATTTTGGTGGCGAGTCAACAAGTTAGTTATGTCATATTCTGACTTATTAATTTTTAAGTATTATATTTAATCTTATAGATGTGAAGAAACTGATTTTTTATTAGTATAAGGCAAAAATATCATAAACAAACCATACGTAACTGATATTATTATACTAGTCTTAGATGTTCGTTTGTATTGGTAGAGTTCTATATACAGTATATATACACTGATAGTTGTACGCATTTTACTACACTTAGTCCATGTTTCATATTGTCTGTCGTAAATTAAAATAACACTTATAATTATACATCTTTGATTACAGTACATCATATTTCACGATTTATCCATTAAATTGAGCTTCGAGGCTGAATGATATAACCCTAGCTAGTTAGTGTCAATAGTGTTGTAATTTTTTTTTTTTATAGATTCCGTAGTCATCGGACATCATATTAAGATTAAAATTTATAAGATAATTAAGACATTGCTCAATTAAATTTTATCGGTTTATGTGCACGCACTAATTAAGAAGTCATCTAATTAGGACAACCTTAACTGATAACTTAAGGATGGTTAAAAATTAATTACGTAGTAATTTAGTGACGTAAAAGGTGATATCGTTACAACAAATGCGTTATGAATTCACAAAATACGTTCGGAGTAGCTTTTTAGAATGTATAGTTTAGTGCATATGCAACATCTGAAACTTTATAATAAACTAAAATGTGCTTCTACGAAGGCGAATCAGACATGGTATCTTATAATATTTTTTTTTAGTTTTTTTAAAATATTCGTTATATATATATATATATATATCGATTTTGATAACTTTCATACTGTTGTGTTGGACCCGATTGGCTAGAGAGACGTACACGTGTACTTTCGCTTTCGGCAATGGAAAAATAGATGGTCGTCTCTCATTGGTCCAACACGGTTGGACCAATCTCGATGTCCCATCACGATAGATACGCTAACAGAAGATGTATATCTACACACATATGTGTGTGTGTGTGTGTATATATTGGCGAGAGAGATAAGAGGTCGAAACAAGCTGTTCTTGATCTCGTGGCTTTAGTAACCCTTTAAATGTTATACTTAAAAGAAATCATTTATAAGTTACATCCTATATACTAAATTTAATATCTATGTATAATTAAGAATAACATTTGAAACCATATATAAGAACAATATTATTGAGAATATAATTAATATATATATATATATCAGTTTACTAATTCAAAACTTTTTTTTATGAAATAATTCAAAACTTAAAGCAAGTTATTTCCCCTAATTTCCCGATATATATATATTTTATAAGCATCCCATAGTTTTAAATCAGATAGAGCTTTGGTCTCCTGTAGAAGTAAATGTTACGTGCCAACGTTACTGACACAACAAAATGCGCGTACATAGAAGTCGGGAAATTATTATGAGCCAAAAAAGCGGAAAATAAGTAAAATAACTTTTTCATTTTTGTTGTCGTCAAATAACTTATCCGAAATTTTAAATTAATAAAACATATCACATTTAATCAATTAGAATACATTTTAATGGTTTCAAAAATCAAATTTTGCTGGGTTACTCTCTTAGAATGTTTATTTTACTGTATACGATTTAGTTTGTCATGGTAATTTTTCTTTAATGCTAAAAGATTGATCCATAAAAAAAAATATTTCAGAAATACTAAGTTTTACTAACCGTTCCGAAAAAAAAAGTTAATAAATTTCATAAAAATTAGATTAGATTTCAATGAACATGTGAGCTCCCTGGGTAAAAGTGGAGAATAGAAAGTTACCATGATATGTGTGGTAAATTTGTGTTGTCACAATTTTCGGAATATAAATCTATAATGTATATGTCAGGTATGGTGTGGGACCTGCTCATGAATCAATCAACCAAACAATTGATTGCTTCTGTTCATTGTTAGCCCTAGACACGTGTTGGGTTCATGTCCCTCATCCCTCTCTCTCCTTTTGTCCATCATCTTTCCTCTGCTTTCCCAACCCCACCTCAAATTATCATAACGCATCCCTCCGCCAAAACCTAATTAGCCCTACCGGAGAGGGAGAGGTTGATTTTATCATGGACGACGAAAATAGGCAGCGAGCGGCGGCATCCACCGGAGACAGGATCGTGATCAGCAAGATAATGCAAAGATTCCGACCAATCGCTCCGAAACCGGTCCCCGGCGGCTGTCTTAATAAGATTCACGATGAAGCGTTTGCGAACGCAAAGAGATCTGCCGGAAGGAACCGAAGATCCAAGAGAAAGTACGTTAGGGTTCGCAATAACAATAAAAGTAAGAACAGTGACAACAACATTAACAGTAACAGTAATGGGTACAACAAGAGGAAGATAAAGAGTGCTCCGACAGCGGATCTTGATAAAGATGCGGGAGATGACGGAAGTGGGTTGCATAAAGACATCGTAACGCTTCAGTTGTTGCCAGAAAAAGAGAAAGATCTAGGAACCCGAGAGCCTGTGTTTGGTTTCAGAGACAGTGTTAGTACAGGTGACAGTACGGAGAATAATTACAGGGACCCACGTCTTTCCATAGAAGATCGTACAATCGTGAGTCTGTCTCCGTTAGATCGGACGGTTGTCGAGTCGTGGGTGACGGTGGAGTGCGTGACTGGAACGTGCACCGACGGGAGCATCAGAAACCAGCTGCTGGGTCGTACGGACGTCGAGAGACTGAGATGTCTAGAGGTCGACACGTGTCCAGGGTTTGTATCTGACGGGTCGAACCGGGTCAGATGGGTAAACGGGTCATACCGGAGGATGATGGGTCTGACTCTGAGCGGAGGGGGAGACGTGAGGGTGTGGGTGGTGGTGACGGAGGAGATGGCGTGCATTGGGGAGTTATATGGTGCGGTGACGTGCAGGGTAAGGGTTCAGTATGAGTCCACGTGGCGGAAGAAGAAGATGACGGTGCCGTGTGATGTGTGGAGGCTGGGCTCCGGTGGATTTGCATGGAGATTGGACGTTGAAGCTGCTTTATGTCTGGGCAGGTGACGAAAGCCAGAGCCGAAAAAAGAAAGGTGGGAGTCAAAGATAACATTTAAAAAAAAATGTTAGATAGAATTATACTCTTGATAGCAACATTTATAACGTCAATTCATATGATTGTGTGTATATACGTTTAGTATACATGTGGTAATACATACATGCATATAACATTTAGTTGCATCACCTAGCTATCCAACTGAGATACATTACATATATACACCGACACTTACCGGGTCACATGTATCTGTGTGCATTATTGGTATCATTGTAACATAAATTAAAATGCATAACCGTCGGTTAATTACAGGCACTAAATTACATTACTTCATCTACAAACAACAAAAATTTGTTGATTATCGTTTTGATGCAGGTTTCTACACCGCTTCTAACGTACACACGGGGATAAATGGCTAATTAAATGTACGTAGGAATTTGTGTTCATATATATATATATATATATATATATATATATATATATAGTGTGTGTGTGTGTGTGTGTTTGAGAGATTATAAAGGAAATATGATTGACCAAGTTTGGTTTGTCAATGGATGTATCGAAACTGTGTCACATTTTATGTTTGATCGTTAATCACACTGCATCAAAAGGTGTAGTGTTTCTAGTTGCATTGGCCACATCATGGCGAAACGAAAGATTTCGTAACCAAATCAAAAATGGAGTGGCGATTATATATTTTTGCATTGCAAGTTGAAACACAATATAACAACGTTGTGTCGTGGCAACAATGAGTTGTGTCTGAGAAAAGTTGATGTGAGTTGGTTGAATATAGTAAGCGTTTTGATCTTAGAGGTTAGAGGTTCGAATCCTCTTATCTTAGTCTTTTCGTCTGCGAGTCTGCCAGATTATAGGTAATCTGGACTGGATTATATCTATCATGTGGTTTGTAGAATATTACTCGAGAGCGGTGTTTAACCAATATACACCCGAAGAGTAGTGGATATCGATTTCCATGTCATAAAAAACAATGAGTTCCATCCCTACTTCCTTATCATTGGTGATGATGAATTCGTAACAAAATACGTTTAGCGATGTCCACAATTTCGTAAAATATTTTGTAACGACAATTTCGTAACAAAAAATATCTGTTGTGTTTTTGTATGTGTGTGTGAATCAAGTTGAATTATGGATTTTTTATTTTATTTTTGTGGTATATATTGATGAATTGTGCCATCGTGAACCAATGGCATTGTGGAGATTTTTGGTCGATTTGCATAGCAATTTTTCTTTAGATTTCTTGTATTTGTATCGATTAGCTAGAGGATTGATGCAAAATTCATATACAAATGGCATGTTTTTTGTTCATCGTTCTCTTATTGGTTGGGAGATACGTCGAGGGGGACATAAGCAGTTTGGTCACTGTCTGAGTTCTTTCTTTCTCTTCTTTTAAAGACAACCATAATTCATGGACCGACATTACAGCTCACCGTGCAAACTCCATTTTTATTGGCACTAGAATTTATATTATAATATTGCACATAGAGATATATATATTTTTTGTATGAAACTTCTGCTCGCCATTGTCATATATATATACATTTGCTCGCATAATTAAGGGGCATTATATAAAAAATATTCTCCTTTTACTATTTTGACTTCAACACATACTTTTTTATTATGTTCATATCTTTTATATCTCACTAATCATTTGATTAAAATATTATAAATTTAACGTTATGACTAATATGATCAACATGTGAGCACACTATATTTCGAATTACATGAATCACATGGTCACGGTTGAAAAAAGTATGCATTGAAGTTAAAATAATAAACAGAGGATATTTTTTTATAATGCCTCTGGTTAAGGCATAGGACTATAAATTTCGATTATATAGAGAATATTAATGTTAACAGAATTGTATGTATTTTGATGTGCTATTCAGAATTTCAACCTAAATATCATTGCCTAAAAAATTCTAATTATATTTTAATAATATTTCTTAGACATACCAAATGTGTTTTCATTTTCAGTTACTTTGATACTACCAAATTTCCAACGCCTTGCATATGGGACATATACGGATTTTTTTGAATTTTTTTCAAAGGTAAAGTTTAAAGTCGATATTTAAAGAAAATCAAACCATATACGAATGTGTTATAAACAATCATGCACAAAACTCTACGTAGGATATCTATACAATTCTTTTAAAAAAAAATACGCATACATATTATATAGAAAATACAAACGTACAAATTCAATTAATCTAACTTCAAAATATCTAATAATTAAAGATCTATTTTACTTCAGCATGAGTTATGATATATAAATTGATTAATTGATATAATACAAAACTTTACAAATTCATTGGAACTGCAGCTTCTGAAAAGATCTACTTAATAATTAACTGGCCATTCATAATAAATTAGATTAACGCAAGGCTTGTGGCGTTATCTACTCCGTCGAGATTGCCACGTCAGATTTGGCCAAAGCAAACGCATGTAACTACCACAAACGATAGGAGGTCCGTCCGATTAGACTCGGCGGGGAAATTGGACGGTCAGAATCTATCTGCCTTTGCTGAATAGAGAACTGGCTGTTTTAACAGCAGGTGATAGATACCAGGGAGCGAGAAAGTTCCTTCCGTTCGACATCGTCTTCGTCTTCGTCTTCTCTCCGAACTTTTCCACGGGGCGCTGGTTAAGGATTTCGTCGATTCGAGATCTAGATTCAGGTTTGTTTCCGTCTTGGATTTTCGATTCTTGGGCTTTCAGCTCAAGCTCTTGTACGTGATCGTTGTGGTTGGTTCTCGAATTTGATTTGGGAGTTTTTCAAACGGGGATACCATTGGAATCAATTGGGGTTTGTATAGTTTATTCAATTTCAGCATTGTCTTCCCGTGTGGGGTTGCTTTCCACGTGATCACTTTTCCGAGTTGAATAGTACAAGTTCTTGTGTCTGATTCGCCCTAATTTCCTTGTGGGTTTTCTCCTGTTCGAGTATTTATTAGCGAATAGGTCGCCGTCTGGATTGGTAACTAAGCCAGGGCTTGAAATTCTTGAATTTGAACCTTGAATAGAGCGAATTTCGAGTGTAATGGCATCTACCGCGTGATTCCATTTTCTCGTATTCCCATCTGTTTAGATCCATGCTGTCGGCGTGCATATAAAGCGAGGTTCTGAGGCTTTGCTTTTGTTTATGTGATGATATCAAGATCTGATTTGTCACATTGGTTAGATTAGCTGTTTATGTCATACCACATTCCCTGTCTCTGTGAATATCTTAGAAGACATTTCAAGTCTAAAATTCTAACTGCTAGAAAGGGGAAAACCCGTAACTTGGCCATTTTGTCTTTCAAGGAGTGGTTTTTATAATTATTATTAATATTTCTGAATATGCCAATAGGTATATCTTTGCTGCAGGTCTGTAACGAATAGTAGAATCCAGTGAAGGTTTCCTTCCAAGGAAGAAATGGTGGAAAGTATTGCCCGAATGCGGTTGAAGCACTTGTTGAACAGAGAGGTATGGAAGCTCCGTCGTATCGACACTGATGCCACTCTGCATGTGATAATTCAAGTGCGCCTACAAGGAAATGTATTAGGTTGAATTCTACTAATGAAGATCCTTATGGTGTCTCAAGGCAAGTCATCTCATAGCTGATAAAGATCGGTTAGAACTAAAGCTACAGCTGATAAAGATTGTTCTCAGGAAAGCAGAGTTGCAGAGACTGAATACGGCCGCTGCCTCATCTATCAGTGATAGGGCTGGCTCAATCACGGTGCAAAAATCATCTCAGGTCAGTAGTTTTAGGAAGTCTTTGAATTATGCGACGGGTCTGGGGAAGAAAGTTTGACCTCAGGGCAGCAATTTGCGTGGATGGAACCGTGGTTCCTCGCGAAAGTTTGAGTCTTCAAAACGTTATCTGGCCAGCACTGCTAATGTAGCTTTGATGAAACAATGCGACACGCTGCTTGAAACAATGGTTGTCTCATCCTCATGCTTGGGCTTTTCTAAGGAGCTTGTTGATGTAGTGAAATTAAACATTACCAGACTATTTCACTATTATCAAACATCCGTATGGATTTATGGACAGTAAGGAAGGAAGAAGTTATCTTCTGATGTATACTCAAACCCACTTGGGTTTGGTGCTGATGTGAGACTTACATTAATGACATATAACCCTCCGGGGCATGATGCCCACCTGGTCATGTCATGTATTTGGACATTAATGATGTGAACAACATGTCTGGATAAGATAGAGGTAAGCTTCTTCTCATCTCGGCTTTAACCAAGAAACCTTTTTTGGCAATCTAACTAACAAAAAAAAAAAGGATTTTCTTTCATTGCAACAAGTGAGATCGCGGGTTTGAATCAACCTCTCGACATAAAGAAGTAGAGGTAATGCTGTCTATAGTATATTCCCTTCCTCACCACCCTCGATGAGATGGAGACTCGAACTGGGTTGGTCCTTCTGTTCTAACCTCTGTGTTCAATCCCAGGGAAATGTTGGTGGAAATGAACCTCCTGTGGTTAGTTCTATTGCTTATCATTTTAACACCTTCTTCATTCTGGGCTTCACTTCGTACTAACAATGCCAAACCCCATTATTACCAAATGATGTATCATATTATATTATACATTCATTCTTCAAAAAACAGTCAGATCCAACTGGGGATGTGGATGCTGTGTTCCTCTGTACAATGTCTGATCTCTCTGTGAAAAGTTCATTTTTGTTTTGGGTGAGATGGCTTTTGATGTAATTTATTCTAGTGGTAGGGACAGGCATCTAACAACAGATGTAGCAGTTGAAGTACTTTCACCAGACACAAAACAAAAATATTAAAGTGGTTTTGCCGTTGTTGGTAAGAAGAACAATAATCTGATGCAGCTACTCCTTGAAACGCCGTCGTTTCCGGTCTCACCCAACCCTGTTTCTCTAAACAAACCTCAAGGTCCCTCAACCATCTCTCGCCATATCTGATTGTAAACAGTGTGCGCGTGCGTTTATCTATATATATACGACCGTATGTGTGTGAGGAGATAACGAAGCGTTCGATTATTCATCTGTAATGGAGGCGTCTTCTAGCTTCTGGGATCTGCCATTTTTCTTCTCCGTCTTCGTCCTCGTCTACTTCGCAGGTTACTTCATCGTCTTCAGGAACTGGAGCCCCGAGACCCGATCCGAAGCCTCCAGCTGCCTAATCTCTTTCCTCCACGGCACCTCCGCCGCTGTCCTCCCCCCCCGCGCCATCGTCTCTGACTGTGGCGGCGTCTTCTTCTCCGGCTGTAACACCCCTTCCCAAATCACCGTCCTCGACTTCAGCTCCGCCTACTTCTTCGCCGATCTACTGCACCTCGCCGCCTCCTCCGCCGCCGGAGACGCCCTATTCGCCGCCCACCACGTCGCCGTCCTTTTCGTCTTCCTCACCTGCCGTTTCCTCGTCGGCCAGGGCGCGTGCGGCATACTCGCCCTGCTCGCCCTCGCCGAGGCCACCAGCGCCTGCCAGAACACCTGGGCCCTTACGGCGGCGGCAGCGGTGGCGCGTGGGACCGACGCGCCTCTGGCGATGCGGCTGAGACGGCGCGTGGAGTTCCCGTTCTACGCGACGTACAGCGTGTGCAGGGGCGTCCTCGGGCCGGTGGTGGTCTACAAGATGACGTCGTTTTACGTCTCCGGCGCGGCTGATGACGTCATACCCAGGTGGGTATGGGTGTCTTGGATCGTCGTCATTGTCGCTGCGCACAGTGTGAGTATCCTCTGGATTCGGAATTTATGGATTCAATTCTTTAACGATAGATACCCAACTTCCGGCAAGAAAACGAATTAAAACTTTGTCTTTTTCATATGGTTAGTTCTTGTGGTAGAAATCTCTGTCAGTAATCTCGGATATATATATATATATATATATATATCTTCTGCAGATATATACAATAAGGTTATTCATATAATATATATAATAATCTCAGTATAATCTTGTTTCGTGACAATCCGAATGCCCAGAAGAAGAATTTTTTTTTTTTTTTTTTAACATATAAACACACACAGAGACACGATCCCAAAAACGCTATCGATCTGATCTGTGACATGCTTCAAGAGTAGAACTTGTAGTCCTTGGCTTGGAGAATGATCGTTCTCAGCCCTCCAATCGGCGATATCACCATTAACAGGACTCCCAACACGATGCATATCTGAAACGTTACCATGTCAGTCCATTGGGTCAAGTATCAATCTATATAGAATTTAACATACAAATGCTTAGCTATTTTGTTCTTCTATATCACTGTCGCCAAAAAAAGAAATCAATCATTTTCCCTAAAAAAGACAAAACTCCACAAAAGATATTCGGGCACTGTGTTCTGTACTTACCCAGTTTGCCCACCAGGACAGGCTGTACTTCCTCGGTTTGTAGATTGCAAGCCACATTATGCAAGGCAGCTTTAAGACATACCCAACCCAAACACCAGTTATAGAAAACACTTGAAACCTTAGTTAAACTATACGTTATTACCAGAAGAAGTATGTTCTTAACTTACGAAATATGTTGTCGGGGCGAAGGCGAATCCCCCGAAGAAAGCGAGGAGGCCGCCGAAGAAAGGGAATGTCATACCGACAAACATCGTTGCGGCTACAGAATTTTGAACGGAAGCATGGAATGATCAGAAAAGAGGTTTATAAGCTAACTTGTAGATTGAGGAACTGCAGTCTGCAGATATATATCAAGTGATCAGTCATCTGTTATTGATTAATCGGCTTACCAACGTAGAAATTGCGTACGACGAAGCGAAGGGCTCGGCTTGGCCTGAAACGTAGCTTCTTCACCAATACAGTCTCCATCATGTCGAAGACCGGCATTGCGTATATCTGTACGTAGAGGATCACAACCAACCGTGCAATAAGGTCCGTGGTTTATAATGAAACTAACAGAACGTGGGGTGGGCATGAGCCGGATATCCGCAAATCGAAGATATCAAATCTATATCCAATTATGAATATTTTATTATTTTTTGGAGTATATGTTGAAATTAAATTTGAAAAATTGCTAACCTGGTAGCTCCCAATGACATGGATGACCACGAAGATGTTGGCCGTAGCAATAAGCCAAGCCGGTTTTTTCAGAGATATCAAAATGTTGTCCTCGACAGCATTTCCGAACATCCAATAACCGACCAACGCAACCGGAAAATAGCACAACGCGACCACGATGTAAGCCACGACCACTCCCCTCCACATCGGCCCCTTGGACGGCTTCTCGGGTGTCGAGGGGATCGTTGCTTGTATCTCAAGAACCACGTTGTGGCCCGCATACGCGAAAGCCACGTCGCCTAACGCGCTGAAGAAGTTGAACACTGTTCCGGCCGTCGTTTTCGCTTTGTATCCGTACTCGACGTCTTTCTGAACACCCTTTGCCGCCGAGGCCGCCCACGCTATTGTCGAGTAGCTGTTTGAGGAGAAGAGCGGAAAGAGAAAATCCGGTTAGCCGAGAGAAACCGGTTAAGAAAAGACAAGAGTTGCT